CAGCCTCTCCCTCACCTGTTATATCCACACTTCTAACAGTTGTTGACTTCCCAAAGCAGACAGTATTTGAGCTGGTTGGTGAAAGGTCATTAAGGGTTTTTCAGGTATAAAGACTTTGCTTCTTTCCTCCCATCTAAAAGAACGAGGCGCCTTTCTCCTAGCTGACCCCCGCCCACCTATTCTTCCTTCCCTCTGCTGCCTTTTCTAGCTTGTCTTCATTCCTTCCTCTGAAGAATGAGCCTGGCATGTGGTTAGAGCTGATGTCTGCACCTGTGGTGCTTTGTGGGCTTTCATAGACTTCCAGAGTACTTTAGATCCCTTATCTGTGAAAGGAGGTGATTTTTATTAGCTATTTTATTGTGTGGTTGTGAAGCTTAACAGGGTTAATATGTGTACAGCTCTTAGACCAGGGTTAGGTGTGTGTAACTGGATCCTTATGAGTTTTTTCTTAAAAATACAAAAGTATAACCCATCCATTGGTCTTACGGGATGGTCTTCACCTTATTCCCTTTCTCACTTCCCCTCACACTTTACCCCGCTGCACGCGATCAGCTGTCCTTGATGGCCATGCACTGCGGCATGGCTGTGCTGTCTGCTGGCTCGCAGCCTGGTTCTGCACCCACCCTGCTCCCCGCCCACCCGCTCTGGATGAGGTAACCAGGGACTTCACTGCCAACAGATCCACCGGGTGCTTCTTAGTCCTTATCTTGGTGGCATGTTCTCTTGCAGTGACCTCCATGAACATCTCTTTCTAAAATTCTGTACTGCTTGACTTTTATTTTTAAATTCCATACTCAACTGGTTCTCTTCATACCTCCTGAGCACATCTACTTCGTTTCTGTCGTATCCTCAGAGCCTACTGGATTTGTCCTTAATGGGTTGCTAGCTTCTTTAAGGAGAGCAGTTTCAGTGACTCATTAAAGTCAAAACCTGCTTTGTTGTTCTGTGATGACTGCCCTTGCACTGTTCACCATGTAGGAACCGATTCACTGTGTAAGACCTTGTTCACCATGTAAGAACTTTTTTGTTATGCTTCAGAAGATTGGAGACTGTTCAGATACAGGCTTGGGGTTGATGAATGACTGTACATTGAGTCCCCTATACAGAATTTTATTGTTGTTAACAACCATTTGATCAATAAATATGAGAGATATTCTCTCAAAAAAAAAAACAAAAACCTGCTTTGTTGAGGTAAGGAGTGAACCCGAGGTAGAGTGGAAATAGCGAGAGGGGCCATAGGGATAGGCACCTGGTCAGTCTCAGGGAGACCCAGCCACACTCAGCCCCTGGAAGACTCAGATGCTTGGGTGTCTTGCTAACCAAGATTCACAAAACACTGAGATGGGAGCCATGCAAATTTATTAGAGTTGAGAAATACAGTTTTCAACTGAGCTGGAACTTTTCCTTGAGTGAAATTGTTTTTGACCCAAAGCATTGGGTAGAGAGCCTGGAGTCCAATGCAGTTAGGGAAGTTTGATGAATCTGAGGTCCAGTGGCGTCCGTCTGGGGTAAGGATGTTCATCTCATTCTGGAGATGGGTGAAGCCGTAAGGGCTGGCGAGGTCATCCAAGACCTGCACCCTCCACCTTCGTGTCAGCTTTAGGATCCTTGAAAATTTACCACCGCAGCTGTTTTTGTGCTCTCAGGAGGTACCAAACGTTGTTGTTACTGATACGTTCTTTCTTTAACTAGGTATTCAGCGTCGAATAATAGCTTGTAGAAGATAATCAGAAGAAATCTTTGTTTTGTCTTTTACCATCTCTTTAAAATGTACTTAGCTTGGAAAGTTGTTTGCCTTTATAAAAAGGTATCAGACCTTGTGGCTTTACTCTTCAAGTTACTGATTCAGCAGCTGTTTAATGAGCACTCCTGTGAGCCAACGCCAGTTCTAGGTGCTCAGGACTCACTAATGAATAAAAGACAAAACGAACCTTTGAGTGGCAGTCACCTTAGGGAGCAGAAGTCACAAAACATAGGCTCAATTTAAAAATGGGAAGTATCCAGTTCAATATTTTAATCAACACTTCAGTCTTCAAAGGTAAGACTTCTCCATCTTTCTTCCAGTGAAGTCTTGTAGTTGGCAACCAGTCGCTGTGTGGGAAAGGGGTGCGTTGGCTTCTGTCCATTTGTGTTCTCCTCTGTGGACTATATTTTCTGCCTCTGATCCAATGAGATTCTAGGTGGGGTGGGGAGGGTGGAGGAGGGAATAGGGAGGAGCTAGGGTTGTACTGTGGCTCTCAGCCCGGCCCGTGGCTGAAGCCGCTGTGCTGTGGGCCCTGGCGCCTCCGGAGGGATTCCTGTACCCACTACCCCACTCACCTGGGAGGATGCATCTTTATGTTGGTGGCTTATGTGGTGACTCTTCCTTAGCTCCTAGGAACTTGGATCCACTCACAGTTTCCTCCTGGAGGTCCTGCTGGCCTGCCTGGTGGCACTGTTGGCTGAGCCACAGCTGACCCCGCCGCTGGGCGTGCGTGGGATCCTCCTCTGCTCCGCTGGAGTTTCTGTCTTTGCCTTGGTTGTGGGTTCTGATCCCAGCGATCAATACCGCTCCCTTCCCTCTGCTCTCCAGATTTCCTTGGGTGGAAACCCACTGTACCCCCACCTCAGGAGTCACTCAACAGGCCCTTTGAGCCTCCACTCGGCTTGCTGAGAGTGTGGTTGTACTCACAGCACCTGGAGGTTCACTCTGCACATCTTCCTTGGCATGTCCTCTCCACCGTTCCACTCACTCTCTATATTCATAAGCTGACTGTGAGGGGAGTCTGAGTCATGGGACTGCTTTTGATTAATTTTCTTTGTAAATTCTGTGTGTTGGTGTGGCCCTCCCATTGGTACGCAACACTCCTTGTATTTGGCGCCTTAGTGGAAATTCTAGCTTTTCCATCTTATTTTAGTTGGATTTCTGTTTTGGGGGCCAAGATTCACTTGGCTGGCCTCTTTAAAGGTGACTTTAGCATATATGTATTTCTGCTTTAATGTCATTCATTGTTGCAGAAAAGGGTTAACTCAGCAGCCTGGCTTGCCCAA